GAATGGCATTGCCCCATTTGTTAGGAAATATAAAGACTTGGAAAAAATCATATTAAGTGAAGTAAGCCAGGCCCAAAGAAACATAGGTCCCATGGTTTCCTTCATTTGTAATAATTAGTATATGTCTAGGATAGTCCTAGTGGTGGTTCACAATAACCCAATCTATGTATATTTGACCATATAAAATGATGCTAATCAAAATGAACTCCAAGAGACCTGGAAACAACAAGTCTTTTTTTGTTTGTTGACCTTGTTTTCATCAATGTACTGTATCAAGTTTTTTCTTTTTATTTTATTTCATTTTGCCCTTGATTTATCCCTGGCAATCACTGTCATTGAGTCTGGTACCCTGCATCTTGTATATACATTTTATCTGATTTGGGGATGGAAAGGAGAAAAACAAAATGGTGAAACAGGACAAAGGATGACCCAATGCAACAATGATACTCACAAGACATATGTTGGAAATGAACTTTACAACTTCAGAGTGGGCAGGGGAGGGACAGTGGGAGAAAAATGAAGTGATTAACAATGTTCAACAAGAAATGTACTCCTTACCTTACTTATGGAACTGTAATCCCTCTGTATAGCCCTTTTACAATACAATAAAATAAAAATTTTAAAGAAAGATGGCCTAAACAAAATATTCCATCAAGCAGGAGAAAAATGTTCTGATTTTGAAAACAGGTCTTTTGAAACAATAAGAAAAGAAAAAAAATAATGAGAGAAAAAAAGAAGGAAAGGGGAGAGGAAGAGGAGAGGAAGGAAGGAAAGAGGAAGAAAGTACAAAACTCTAGGGGGAGTAGAAGGAAAAGACACAAAGAAATAATCCATGTTAAAACACACACACACACACACACACACACAGATAGCTAGACACCATTCCCGTAACTGTAGCTAACCAGGTGTCTGAGATCTGAGGAGCTTGTTTCAAAGCCATCCAGGTCCGAAAAATTCCCATGAGACATATACGGGAAGTGGAGATGCGGCTCCAAGTAGTAGAGTGCTAGCCTTGAGCAAAAAGAGCTCAGGGACAGCTATCAGGTTCTGATTTCAAGCCCCGGGACTGATAAAAAAAATAAAAAGATGCTAATCACTCAAATTGATAATTATATGTTACATATGTGTGTCAGATTAACACACTGCCCTAAAAATGTGTAAAATTATTGTCAATTTAAAATAATGTAAATAAGTACACTATACTGACCACTAAGACCCATTATCTGTAATACTAATGGTTGAGGACAAGTCCCTAGATGTAATGGTTCTGATTTGTAGCTTATATAATTTCCTCTATACTAAGTTCACTCTTTGTAAACTTGGTACTGACACATAATCTCTTTAATCATATATCATTATTGTGTCTCCCAATAAAGCATTCTCCCATATGGTACTAAGACTTTTAGGCAAGTAGAGTATAAGAAACAGTAATCAGACATATTTCTAGTGGGTCACTTAGTGGCAATAATGACTGGAATCATTCTCATATCCAAGAAATCTGAGAAATAAGATAGTTTGTGGGCATAATCCATAATTTTGAGTAACAAGTCAATAAGCATTTGCTTAGCTATTCCATGAATAAGTTTCCAGGGACCTTAGGGAAAGCAGATCCACTGGACTTTTGATCACAGAGAAGTACAAAGTAAAGCTATGAAAATGGAATAAAGAAACCTGTTGGAAACGCTATTTTTAGAAAGTGAGTTTCAGAATGTGATGGGGGGAGTATAAACATACGTGGATATGTAACAAAGAAATCCCTCTTCCATATAACTGACATTATCCAATAAAAGTAATTAACATCCCCACAAAAAAGAAACAGAAAAATAAATTATATTCCTGTTTAAGCCAAAATAAACAGACCAATTTTATTCTTTGAGGTAAAAACAAAGTGCGAGAGGGGATATATAAGACAATAGTTTTCAAGACACATTAGGCAGCAAATACTGATTCCTTAGAAATGCGAAACAAATTATTTGAATCCTAGTATTGCCCCCAAATTGCTTAAGGAGTTCCCAGATTAAGAGAGGGGAAACCACTAATCTGTCTCACTATGGTTAGGATATTAAATCAAGCAACTTAGTCCATGAAAAGAACCCCTAGAAAGATTACAGATAGCATATACCTGACACTCACACAGGACCTGTAAAAGTGACTGTTTTACTCAATGCAAAGAAACAAAGGTCAAGGGGACATAATTACATAATGAGAAAACAGCCGATTCACTTCTTTCAATTACAAATAGAGAAAAAGTCTTAACCTAAAATTTTATATGCAAAGAGATATCTTTCAAAAATCAAGTCAAGGACTGGAAGAAAGGCTTGTGGTAGAGTATTTGCCTAGTAAATGTGAGGTTCTGATTTCAAAACTCAGTACTGCTTAAAAATCATGAAAACAATGAAGATCTGTAGATATATAAAGAACAAAACAACTGTACATGGTGGTACATATCTATAATTCTAGCTAGTTGGGAGGTGGAGCTCAGGAGATTCACAGTTCAAAACAAACCCAGGAAAAAGTTACCAAAAACCATCTCAACAATCAAGCTAGTTGTGTTGACTCATGTTTGCTATCCTAGGTAAAAAGAGGCATATGGAGGAGGATCATGGTATGAAAACAGCCCCAAGCAGAAAAATGAGACTATCCAAAAAGTATATGAAGTAAAATAGGCTGTGGTGTGGCTTAAAGATACAGTTTCTGCCCTAAGTTGAAGAACACCAGCTAGGTATGGGGTATATTCCTATAATCCTAGTACTTGGATGCTAAGAAAAGAGGATGAAAAATTTTATGTCACTCCAAAAAATATCTTGAGACAACATCTGAAAAACTTCTCAGAAGCACAGCTCAGTGATAGATCACTTACTTAACAGGCTCAAGGCCCTGAGTTGAAACACTAGTACTACAAAAACAATATCAGCAGCAACCATGTGGTACAGTAAGTGCATTTTCCTTCTCTCAAATATACACTCAATGTCACTCACAATACTAATTTTAAAAGCATGAGATATGTAGGGAAACCCAGCAAAAAGATGTGGCAGACATACACCAAAATTAAAAACATAAATGAAAGAACATGTAGGCAAATGGACATGTAAGTTTTTCATGGGTTAAAAAACTCAGTATTACAAGAAACACTGGTGGTTCATGTCCATAATCCTAGCTACTCTGAAGGCTGAGATCTCAGAATCACTGCTCAAAGTTATCCCAGTAAGCAATTTCTTCCCCAAATATGCATCAACAATATTTGGCTGGAGGCTTGGCTTATGTGGGAAAGTGCCAACTGTTAACAGAGAAAAGCTGATTGAGAACCCAAAGCCCTAAGTTCCAAGATATGGTACTCTCACAGAAAAAAAAATCTCATTATTATAATCATGCCAATTAATCCTCAAATCAATCTTGAGTATTCAGAAATCCCATTAATATCCCATCATATTTTTGTATATAACTTCACTAACTGATGCTGAAATTCCTATAAAAATTCAAATAATGTAGTAAAGCCAAATAATCTTTGTGAAAGAAGAACAGAATTGGAGAATTGGATGACTAATATATCCTAATGTCAAGATTTACTACAATGCTAGAGTAACCAGTGAAGTGTACAGTTGCTAAAAAGACAAATCAATGATCAGAAAAGAATCTAGTGAAATACAGATAACTAGTTTTCTATTGAATGAAAAAGTAATTCATTCAATGAAGAAAAAGCTCGCTTCCAAACAAAAAGGTCAAGAGGTATTGTTTGTCCAGATGTACCATCTGAAATTCTACATTCTGGAAGAATACGAATCTGTGAAAAACAGCATAATAAGAGCACTCCATGAAAGAATAAAATTAACACATTAGTCTATCACTTATAAATCTTATTTTTGAACTATGATAAGTCAATAAGAGAATGAGAGAGAGGAGTTTTTTTCAAAAGATATAGCTGATAATGGACTCAAAAGCAGAACAAAATAACTAAAAACCCAGTATCCTATATATCAAGCAACATACTTTGAACATGTACAAATCTTTGAAAGCATACTTCATAATTGGAGAGATGTAGGTGTCCAACCTGCATCACTAGTCATGTAAGAAATTAAAATAACAGTCAGGTACCACTACACACCTATTATACTGGCCTAAATTAAGATGAGTAAACTTACTAAGTACTGTATGTAGAGAAATTAAAATTGTTATACACTTCCACAGGGAATACAAAGTAGTAAAATTATATGGTCAAAAATTATAAAATTTCAAGTAGGTACTGGGAGTATGTTTAAGAGATCTATTGACTAAAATGATGACACTTGCTAACATATATTTGAAAAATATTAAGAGAGCTTGCTAGATTTTAAATCCCAGTACAATTAATGCTAACTCTTCATGAGGTAATCCATACGCAAAACACCTATATTTAATCATTTCACTAATATTTACACACACAAATGCACCTCAACGTATCATGTTAAATATGATGAACACAAATTTATTTTAAAATACTACAACCTCTTGGGTCAGGTTTTGGTGGTTGCTTAAAAAGGTTAATCACGCATCTCTCCAGATCCCTCCCCAGCATTAGACTCCTAGGTGAAGTTTACCCAGGAGAAATGGTAGCATATATGCACACAAAGATGTGAATATAGATACTCATAGAAAAATTCTCTGTGATAGTGCAAACCAGGAAGCAAAGTTCTCCAAAGACAAGAGGGTAAATAGGGAACTAAAGTATGAGTGAGTTATGGGAAGGGATGGGAAGGGTAAACAAAGGAGGAGGCTGCAATGCTTGATAAGAAATGTACTCATTATCTTGCCCATGTAATTGTAACCCCTCTGTACGGTATTTTCACAAAAAAAAAAAAGAAGAATGAGTGAGTTATGTCCACACAATGGGTCATAGAATGGAAGAAGGTGGGGGGTGGGGCATTCCTAATCTCTCCGAATGGAATAGAAAAGGAGAGAATTCCAGCGCTTTAGGACGTATTTGGATCTCTTAGTGGCCCAGTGGTCTCTGAGCCAAGGCCACTATGGGAGACCGGAGACAGAGATGTTCCTTGCAGCCATGGGTACTGAGGGCAACGCCGGCACAAGTGCCGTGCAAGCCCTGGTGCAACGACAATAAGCCTGCTAAGTGTATGATCACACCCGACAAGGAGACTTTCAAGATCCCCACTTCGCTAGATGGCCGAAAATGGGTATTTGTGAAGGAAGGACTGGAACACTTTCAGAAAACCCCACCACCTTCTGAAAATTTGACCACTGAAGGATCCAAGGGGCCCTTTCTGCCGACGATTTCTCACAAATCTTCCCCCACGAGTCCCACAAAGATGCCCAACAATGCAAATGTGTATTCTTCACTTTCGCAATCCCAGCAAGCACGCAGGGCATTTGTGGAAAACCTCGAAGCCAAAATGACACGGAAACATCCGTTGGCTCTCTACCCGAATCTGGAAGACGGTATATCCAAAGAGCTCTTACTGGAGGTGCTGGAATTGCTAGACCCTGAAAGGAAGCTGGAGAGTACCTGGAATTATTGTGAGCATAGCAAGAAAGTAAAAAAGTCCAAGAAACCCATCAAGACATCTAAACAGTCGAAAGCCATGAAAATGTGCCTGAATCCTCCCCCAATTCCTGGCACCCGTGTAGATCTTGTGCCTCTGAAAAAAACCAAGGTCCCAAAGGCATTATTTGAGGCGGTCATGCGGAGATACATACCCAAAACAGTCTATAAGTTCTGCGACTGGGTTCAGACACTTGGAGACGTGGACATTGATGAAGACTTAGTGGCGGATCACTTTGACCTTGGATATGAGTGCAAACCAATCTATACAGATTGTCACATCAAGAAAATAAATAGAATGCCTTTAGAGGCCAGGCAGTGTAGGAAATTAAGCAGAGTGAAACAGATAAGATTTTCCATCCAGGAAAGCAATTTTGAGAAGAAATTCCGGAAGCCACCTGATCCGTATAAAATCCACTGGGAGAAGATAAGGTATGGAGCTTGGTACCTGAAACCTTGTTTGTGGAAAAAGCTAGTCAATGATGAGCCTCTGATTGACCCCAAGGTCTTCATTGAGAAACCTTATCCCCCAGATATCATTGATGAACTTTATGGAACAATTGCATTTAAGGATTACATCATGAGCAAAGGCTACAATATGCCAGCTATCCTTGAGAAGTTTTTCTTCAGGAAGGGATGGGATTACCATGATGTTAATACTCCTATCCCGAGAGTAGTAAGAGCTCATGAACTGAAATATGCGGAGGCAGATGAGGACGATGATGAAGACTTCGATGATTTTGATGACTACGGCTATTATAATTTATAACAGCTAGATGGTTTTTCCTATTCACTGCTTGGTAATTTCTTGTCCTCATTTTAAACATCAGAATATATGATAAGATTCCTACTATAAATGTACATCTTTGGTGGGTAGCATATGTACTTAAACACCTAATGTTTATAAACATTTCTCAATGAACTTTTGCTTTGTGTTCATATTTTGGATGTTTTTCAACTGTGAGATCAATATTCATATAGACTTTTTCACATCTTTGTAGCATTGAGAATACCATAATCTTATAACAACTAATTAGAGATAAGCAATTAATAAAAGCAAAAGTACTCTTAATGAGATCTAGTGATGTCATTTACAACCTGGGATCAATCTCAAAATACCGTAATTTTGCTGAAGAAAAGGAAACATATAGCTCAACTTAGGTTAAAATTTTAATGGAATGGTTATAGTCATTATTTTGTCAACCAATGTTGACAAAAAGTTGGAAGTCTAGCCAAAATAATGAGTTCGTTTTCTTCTCTTGCACTTTTTATTCTTCCTAAATGTACTAGCATTAAAATTTTTAGTTTCAAAATCTTTTCAGTGTTTCCAAGCTTATTTTATTTATTTTAAAGCACGTTTTCAAGCAATGAATATTTTAATTCATTTTCTTTGTATATGTATAGTGAGACTACATGAAACAAAAAATTCAGTACATAACCTAACATTAAAATAAATAAGGGAAGGAGGAGAGGGTTGGGAGAGGTAGTAAAAATGTTGAAAGGAGTGACATTGATCAAGATGCACTATATTCATAAACTGCTTTGGTGAATGGCAAGTCCTTTGTACAATTCCTCAAAGATAATAAAAATATTCAAAAATTATTTTAAAAATAAGAAAACTGTGGGGAAAAAGACTGAATGTTTTCAGATCTCAGCCTTCTGAGGCTTATAGGCATAAGCCACCAGCATCTGGTCTATGTGGGGATTTTTATGCTATCATTAGCCACATTGACATGTATTTACATCTACACACACACACACACACACACACACACACAGCATTTTGTTTATTTGGATATTTCAAATGACATGGGCTCAAATATATTCCTTTTGAAAGGAGAGATAATTCAAGAAAGCTAAATTAATTGTGTGTCTAGACCATGAAGATTTCAAAAGCCTACTCCTGTTGTTTATGTTATGGTCTTTCTTTCTGATTGATGCTTACAAAACAGAAAAGACTGAAAAAAACATTATTACCTGCATTTCATTGTTGAGACAATCTCAAAGAACTAAGTTCCTTAGGATTAGGAATGAGGTCTGGAGTTAAACATCTCATTCTGTTCTCATATTTCCACACTGACATTAAACAGTATGAATAATAAACTATTCACTTTAAAACTTTGGGCTTCATAAGCTTCCACTGAAACTAGAATACCCTGGTGCTTCTAATAAAGAAGACATAGATAGCTGCATGTGTTTGGAGCTTGACTTTTCCAATTTACCTGGAATAATAACTTCATATGGTAGGAATGAGAATAAATTCAGCCCTGGAAGGAGATAAAAGCCTCAAACCAAATGGAATTGGTTTGAATGGTCATATCTAAGTGATGTGATTCTGATATCAGTTGAACAGAGATTATAATTTTTTTGTCAGTCATGGGGTCTGAACTCTGGGCCTGGATGCTGTCCCTGAGCTCTTTAGCTCAAATCTAGTACTCTACCACTTGAGCCACAGTGCCACTTCTGGCTTTTTCTGCTCATGTGGTACTGAGGAATTGAGCCCATGGCCTCATGCATGCAAGGCACTGAGACACCTTCCAGCCCCGATTATCATCTTTTTAATCTACTGGGAGATTAGCTAAGTAATCTCTACTGTTCATAATGAAAACTGTGCCTTCATAGAAGAAAAATATTTACAGCCCTATTTATCCAGCAGAGATATATCAAGAAGAATTTGATAACACATGGAAGAATTAAAATAGAATGAAATAACAACACCTGATTAATATTTTATAAAAAGGAGAAATCTGTAATTTTCCTAATTATTCTTTTCTGTTGCTTTTTTGTTTGTTTGAGACAGGCTCTTGCTATGTGGCCCATACTATGCCCCTGACTCAACCTTCGGAGTGCTGGGATTTCAGATGTCCTCCACCTGGACTCCTACTTTTTCTTTTGTAATCCATGCCCACATCACTTTTTTAGTTACATCATATTCTTCTAAAGAAGAAGGGGCTGGGAAGGTGGCTCAGTGGTAGAGTGCTTGCCTTGCATGTCTGAGGCCCTGGGTTCGATTCCCCAGCACCACATAAGCAAAAAGAAAAAAGCCAGAAGTGGAGCTATGGCTCAAGTGGTAGAGCACTAGCCTTGAGCTGAAGAGCTGAAGGACAGCGCCCAGGCCCAGAGTTCAGGCCCCATACCAGACCCCCCCCAAAAAAAGAAGAAAATTATTATATGTCAGCTTTTTCTATGTTTGGGGAGGGTTTGGCAATTTGTATTTACAACAATTCTGATTTGTTTTAAAAAACACATTTTTAAACACTTCTAAACAGGTTCCTCATGTCCTTATTAAGATTATTTTAAAGAAACATGTGTTTGTACCATGAATTAATTTAAAATTGTCCATAATAAACTTTCTGCTATTTTCCTATGGGAATATTCATGGCTGTGAAAACCTCTGATCAGCCAGATGCTAGAACTGATTATTTATTCCGCTGTAATATTCAATTGGATTATAGTGCCTCTAAGACTAACAACATCTCTGTTAGAACTCTGTTCTAGGGGCACGTAAGATGAATTATTTTCTTTATCAGACAAAGAGAATTATATTTTATTTCTGAGAGTCTAGGAAGCACATTAAGAGTGTGGCCTGTGGAGCAAGTTAGAAGTGAGTTCGTACCCAAGAACTTCCATGTTCTCATCCTGGGGCTGAGGTAAATTGCTCCAGATATGGTTTCCTTATATGAATTTACAACAGTGTTCACTTCACTGGGGCTTTATGGATTATATCAAGCCAGATGCTTATTAAACTTTTGATCATCAATGAATCTCACATTTTTCACATTGTCAGTTGATAGTGACACTTTGAAAATGTTTAATACTTCTGTGGTTTAAAAAGAAAACATAAAAATGCATTATGAAAAGACTGATTTCTCTAATTCTAGATCGAGTGTATATGATAAAAGAAATGCTGAATTAAGTAGGAATGTGCAAGAATAGAATATTCCCCCTTCTATTCAGTCATTTCTCAAATAAAATTAGCTTAGACCACATAGAAAATTAGAACTAAAATTGTTCCCAAGAATCCAGGAGAATATAGTACTTTGCAATATAAGATAGATTTTTTTCAGCTCTATAAGACCTTGATAAAAATTGTCTTAATAAACATCAGAAGACCAATGGTATGAGAAATATATTCCTTTACAGTATCCACTAACATATCCATAGGGAGTGGCCTAGAAAGACATAATCATAATCCTATGTTCTTGTAATTTGAAAATAATTATACACTATATATATTCAAATTCTTTTTTTTTTTTTGGGTCCGGTTGTGGGGCCTGAACTCTGGGCCTGAGTGCTGTCCCTCAGCTCTTCAGCTAAAGGCTAGCGCTCTACCACTTGAGCCACAGCACCACTTCCGGCTTTTTTTCTTTTTGCTTATGTGGTGCTGAGGAATCGAACCCAGGGCCTCATGCATGCAAGACAAACGCTCTACCACTGAGCCACCTTCCCAGCCCCAAATTCTTCTTTATTTTATTGTCAAGGTGATGTACAAAGGGGTTACAGTTATATAAGTAAGACAGTGAGTATATTTCTTCTTTTGACTGTGACAAGAAAGATAATAAGAACAAATTGTGGCAAGGCACCAGTGGCTCAAGCTGGTAACCCTAGCTACTCAGAAGGCTGAGATCTGATGATTGAGGTAAGAAGCCAGCCCTGGCAAGAAAGTCCATGAAACTCTCCAATTAAGCACCTAAACAGTCAGAAGTGGAGCTGTGGCTCAAGTGGTAGAGTGCAAGATCTGAGCAACAAAGTTAAGGGACAGTGTCCAGTCTGAGTTCAAGGCCCAGGACTGGAATATACATACATACACACACACATACACACACACACACACATACACACACACACACATACACATACACACACACACACTAACAAATTGTGTTTATAAATTATTTATTGATTAGTTACAGTCATGAAAATATAGGGCATAAAATCATGCAGTAAGAGCAATTGGATCAAAATGTATACCAAAACATATTTTTACTCAATAGCATCAGAAAGATATGTCAATTTTGTTTGTGTTTTTGTGTTTTTTTGGGGTCCGGTCGTGGGGCCTGAACTCTGGGCCTGGGCGCTGTCCCTCAGCTCTTCAACTCAAGGCTAGCGCTCTACCACTTGAGCCACAGCGCCACTTCCGGCTTTTTGCTTTTTTGCTTATGTGGTGCCTCAGGCATGCAAGGCAAGCTCTCTACCACTGAGCCACCTTCCTAGCCCCAATATGTCAATTTTGAACGACTGATTCCTGCCTTATTCCCCCAAGACAAGCAAGACCCCAGGTAAACATGAACAGGCTTGACCATAGGCCTGTCTGCAGGCAGGTTATTCCAACCTAGGCCTGGCCGAAAATGCCCCTCACTCCAGATAAAGCATTCCACTCTAGGCCTGCCCAAGGATACCTCCCTGGGCCTCCAAGAGACCACAGCTCATTTTTTATTTTCTGCTTCCTTGCTAAACCCTTTATAAGTCCACCCCAAAATCTAGTCCCTTGCACAACCTCCAAACCCTCAGGAAGGTCTGTCCTCCTTGCTGACAATAAAAAGTCCTAGTCTGTTGACTATCAAGTCTAACCTATTCCTTTTCCATTCTCCTCCATTTTCCTAACAAATTTGACTTATTTTCTATGCAAAATAAATTCTTACATAGAAAAAATACCTACGGTTTAAATCCTCTCATGTAATCTCTAGCATGTTACTAGATGTATTTTGAAGTTCAGTTATTTTTCTCAGACAAATCTTGGAATTTACTGATTATGAAAGCTATTTGTAA